CGATTCGATAAAGTCAAATACATAGACGTGTATATGCTCTCATTGGTTGTGTTTTTAGGTTATAATCAAACTGGCTTGTGTGTATGTATGTGTCGGTGTGTGTGCGTGTGTACGTGCACAGCAGCATGCATACACGCAAGCAATCAATCGGTCATTCAATCAATCAGTCAGTCAGTCAGTTAGTCGGTTAGTACACCTCAAATTCATAAATGTACAGTTCATTTGCACATTAAATCATGTTTATGTATGTACTAAATTAAAAATATTTAAAATTAAAATTACACAAAAAAAAAAAAAAAAAAAAAAAAAAAAAAAAAAAAAAGAAGCTCACAAAATTAATTAAAATTATAAGCCGAAAATTATGCTAGTAATGTCAAACATTTTGAATTTGCCTTTTTAAAACGCGTTTAGTTTTAGTTTAACGTTTCAGGTTCTAGCTAAATGTTTAGTGTGCTTCATGTGAAAAAACGACTAAATTCCAAAATATACAACTTAGTTATTATAAAAACGGAAATGTAAAAAAATTACCCAGAATATTTTAGAGCACTGCAAGCAAAGCGATTAAAAAAAATTAATGAAGAAAATGTAATTAAAATACTGCCACAATTAATACAAAAAAAATGCAAAAAAAAAAAAGAAAAATAAATGATTAAATAGTATTCATAAATCTGCATACATACATATATATTAATATGGTACATATAAAAAAATATATACGAATGTTCGAAATGTGTGTATCTCGGCTTCACACACTTCAAATGAAACGACTAGCCAAGTAAGATACTCGTATGATAATTCAGTCATTGCAAAACGGGGCTCGAAGTTAACATTGCGGTTTAAGTCTTCAAACTTAATGCAACCATTAGATATAATATATTACAACATATTCATTAACTGTATATATCAACGTTAGTCAATACTTCCACTCACATTTAAGCATTCACACACACACACACACATACATTCACCCACACCCACGCAAGCACAGTTATAAGAAACTAGTTAAGCGACATAAAGAAAATAGGCTCAGATTCAAAACTTAGATCAAATTTTTCCACATAATAGCTATATAATTGTCACGAGACCAACATCGCACGATAAGATATATGACAGCAACAAGAATTTATTTCAGGTACACTTGATTTGAGTACAGTAAACACAGCAGACAACGAATTCATGTACACAGATTGCTAGACAACACAAACCATTTAGAGAATTGCACTGTTTTGATGCAGATGAAGTGCCCTTTCCAGTCGGGGAACTGGTTCCTAATAGTTGAGTAATGGGATTCGTAACTGAATTGAATGAACAGCTTTGAGAAGGAAAGGGTGCTCACAACCACAAAGTGTTTCATTTTATGCAATTTTTGGAGCCACACTTAGCAATTACAATAAAAATAATTAGTTAAACGAATGAAATAGCTATTAACAAAATATATTAAACAAGTTAAATATTAAAAAAAAAAAAAAACAAAAAAAACAAAAAATAATAAGTATTTGATATATATATGCGGCTTGACCCTGAGATTCAAAAACATAAAATCGGATGTCTTCCAATCAAAGGTCGTCTATTGTAGCAAACACAACAAGAAATAAAGTCTGCGTATTTGCTAAATCAAACAATTGGAAGCGCACTGGCAAGTGAAGCTGATGAATGCAAAAACCAAAATATTAATTCTACTTAAACCAAAATACGCATAGAGAAACACAAGCACACACACTCACTCACACACATACAGCCACACACATACTGCACTGCACGGCACTAAGCCGCCTAAATTTTCATTGCATACTTTTGAGCGCACTCCATCCCTCTCTCTATCACTATTCCATTATTTTTCACAACTTATTAAGTACCTGACAATAGAAGCCACACGACTTTAGAATCTTTTAGCTGCCTCCTCCACCAAAAGCACGACATTCAACAGCGACGTCTTGTACATACGATCAACACAATCACAACTTTGCGTTGAGTTGCCAATAAAAATAATTAAAAGCAAAAATAAATCGAGTCTATGAAAATAATTTTTCTTAAAAGTGCAATGAATAAAAGGTTTCAATAACACAAAAAAAAAAAAAAAAAAAAAAAAAAAACATTTCCAACACAAAGCACATGAGTAAAGCAACCAACATCTCAACGCATTCCATGCAAATCCTTATTCTGTCCTATCGCTAACTATCGGTTTAGCAGTTCATAATCACTTTGTAACTGTTGTAATAAATGCTTAAAGAGGTTTTAGAAGAAAAATACATGAAATTAATGAAATTGATAAATATTTTTTTATTTACTAATGTCTATAGTACAGACTAACTATTCAATTATTTAAGTTAATTTTTTTTTTTTTGATTCGATTTTATGGAAATGCTCATAAAGTAACTGCATATATAAATAAAATGCAAGTAAAATATTTACTCACCGACAAACACTCATGCAGATGCACACACACATACATACACACACACACACTATTATATATATTTAAATTGTATAAAGTGCATACGATAACGTTTTGATTGCATCATTTTTATGATATAGCATATACATATATACATATATATAAACATAGTAATTTGTATGTATGCGTATAGCTATATATGTATGTGTATGTATGTTTGTGACTGAGGAAACGGAAATCAAATGTGTAAGCTACTAAGTTAATGAATCTAGTTGTACTTTTTAAAATACACATGTACTTAAGTACTTACCATACACAAATCTCGATAAACATATAAATTATATATGTGTATATATGTGTATGCATATGTATGTGTGTATATTTTGTGTATTAACTGCTAGGTGGCGTTAGAATTAAGCGCTTCCGTTGCATTCTTGTGTACATTTTACAAACAATTTTTCAATTCCAATATGAATTCATTAATAAAACAAGATATAATAAAAAAATAAAATAAAATAAACAAAAGAAAAAAAGAACACAAATTGAGATTATGATTAATTATAAATTTTAGCAACGAGATTTTTAACTTAGAAAAACCAACAACAAAAATGTCAAAAAAAAAAAAAAGGCAAACTACGATAAAGAAAATATCTTGCAATTCACTGGAGAAAACAACACCACAAATTAAAGTTAAATATTAAATGCCAATGGGCATGATACACTAAAAAATATTTGATCAGTAAATATAAATAAACGAAATACAAGAAAATTAAAAAAAAGGAAAGAAAAGAAGGAATATCTAAAATAACAGTAACTGACGCCAAACGAAATATCGAAACTAAACAAAATTTTAGTTCTGCGTTCGTTGCGCCAACTAAAATGAAAACAAAACAAAAAAAAAAAACTTTCCAAAAAATATACACAAATCAATTTGAACTAAATTGGGTATTTAGTTAAATCAAATACAAAATGTAAGTTAATTAAGCTATGGGTATAGGAAAACTTATGTAAAATATTTGCAATTAAATCATAAATCATAAAAAAAAAAAAAGAATTTTTGGCTTAAGCGTAGGCTAATCAAATATAATTACACTGCAAATTAACAAGAAATAACAAATAAAAGTAACGTGTGAACAAATGTTTGCTCACTAATATTCAAAGTAAATGTCAAACAAAAATTAAAAATTTTAAAAATTGCATTTACATTTCAGAAACAAAACATACATTAATATATATATGTGTGTACACATATACATATACATACATACATACATATAATACATTCAAAATCCTCTTTGAATAAAAAAACAAATTATACATAAATATATATACGAACTAACAAATACAAATCACACTAACTAAATGAAAGTACACACGCAGTCACAAGCACACAAGCAAAATGTCACTTGAGCAACAAAGTAACTTAACAAACAACAACCACAACATACTATATAAAATAGCAAAATGAAAAATGAAAAGACAAAAAGCGAAAAACAGAAACACAACTAAATAATAATTCAATGCTAGCAAACGAAATGTATAACGTAAAATTTGCATTTGCAAGAAGAAGAAACTCCAAACGAAACGAAAATAAATTGAAGCTCAGATTCTCAGAAAATGGCAAACATAAAATTAATGAAAATAATAACAGCAGCAAATGCAAAATAAAAAAACAAATATTAACGAGAGAAAAACAAAGTTAAAAACAAATAAACAAATGCATAAAAACAATTACTATATAAATAAATGTTACGCGTTATTAAATAAAGAAGAATGAAAATAATTTGTTTTAAAAAAATATCACGTTGTGTGTTTGTTTTTATACCCTGAACCCATTGAAAATGGGAAATCAGGGTATAATGGTTTTGTGAAAAGTATGTAACAGGCAGAAGGAATCATCGCAGACCCCATAAAGTATATATATTCTTGATCAGCACGACGAGCTGAGTCGATATAGCCCTGTCCGTCTGTCCGTCCGTCCGTCCGTCCGTCCGTCCGTCCGTCCGTCCGTATGAGCAAAAGAATCTCAGAAGATATAAGAGCTAGAAAGCTGAAATTTGGCATGCATACTCGTGTATACCATAGGCAGTACAAGTTTGCTTTATTTTTTCGATAACTCGTCCGATAACTTTTTTATCGAGAATAATCGAAAAATCGACTTGGTTTTTTCAGCCTAATTTTAACACTTTTAGACCTGGAGACTTCAAATTTGAGTTGTATATAAAGTTAATAGATACAAAGATTTTGTGATTTACAGATTTTGGATACCACGCCCCCTTCGCCCCCAATTTGTATAAAACGCATTTCAAGTACTAGAGACTTGTTCTTTGGAATGTACACACATTTTAGCCATATGATTACGCTCTAAAAGTTTCATTAGGATCTACAAAAGAAATTTTTCAACAAATAAATTCTCATAATATTGCCCACACTGCAGTGCAGCCCAAGCGCAGCCGCTGCTAGCTGCGCAGTTTGCAGAGCGCGTGCTTATACGTGCATGTGTATGTATGTGTGCATAAAAGAGGTCCAGAATGATTAGAATATCAGTTTGGAGGGTTCAGGGTATCTCCTAGTCGAGCAGCCTCGACTGGAGCCTTCTTACTTGTTGGTGATGAAATTGGGACTTGAACAGGGGATTTAAGAATTCCATTTCAGCTTATTAACAAGAGCGAACCGAATGTTTAGGTCAAGCAAATAATGATCTACATACATCCATTTTGGTATTAATCTTTTAGCATTTATTATCTTTTTATTTATCTTTTATATTTATTCACGTTCACTTTCGTTCTTCACATAAAATTGAGCTTGGTAAACTGCGCTGGAGCTGCCACATATTTACCCAGAGCCAAAGCCAGCATCGAAAAGTGACAGCCCGGATAGAGTTCGTTGCAGTCCCGCGACTGTCGCTTGGAGCGCCTGTAGATGCGGTCGTAGTGGTGATGCGCCCGCGGCTCATGGTCCATCACTGGCGACGTGGGCATGCTAAGCACGGCGCGAACCAGCTCTTCCAGCATATTGCCACGCTGGCCGGGAGCATGCAGGTATTTGGCGCTCTCGCACAGAGCACGAGCCACACAAGCGCGTCCATTGAAGCCCATGCTGGCCAGGGGAAGTCAGACTGCGGTTAGACTGGGCTGGCTTGGATTGGCGTCTACTTACTGATCGATTGCGGACTGTATTTCGTCGTAGAAACTGCGCCTCGAGCGTCGCTGCAGCATGGACTTGGTGAGATTGGCGAAGCCTTGCGCATGCTGTATAACCCAATTATGATTAGGCAGGTCGTACGCAACGCCCCAGTTGACGGCCCAGCTGAGATAGTCCACATCGGGATTGCCAATCATGCCAATGGTTAGGCAAATTGCCGCCTGTGCATCGAAATAATTAGTTGAGGCCACATCAGCTGGCTGCATGGCTGAACTCACACCGAAACCGAAGAGCCCTCCGGAAATGCCAGATATCGCTTCTGGCGACTGAGTAACTTTGTCACCGCTTTGGTGGCATTGCCACCTGGCCCAGCCACCAGCTGTGCCTCAGCTATGGCCGCCTGACTTACGGACAGCAGAACTATTGCATTTACCACCAGGTGCAGTGAGCGAGTCATTTTTACAGCGTGGCGCTTGGTTAGAGACTGATTCAGCCTAACGATGCTTAATTGCTAAGGCACCTGCTCTGCACTAGATCTAGCTCTTAACTGCTGTTGTCCCAGCTGATTAGCGACTGCCTGCAAATACTCGCACAATGGCTCACAGTTAACAGGCCGCAGCAACACCTAAAAGTAAACAGCATCCGCATGGACCATTGCTTCATGCAAAGTTGTATCAACATTCAACGCATTTTGAGCTCGCACAAACACTCTGCTGCATTTACAGCGGAAAACAAACACAAATTAACAGAAGGAAAAATGCGAAAAATAGCCAGTAAGTGGGCCAAAAAAATTATACAATATATACAAATTTACATGTATACAGAAATATGTATGTATGTATAAATGAATGTGTTGTAGATATATATATTGATATTTATTAAATGTCCGCTTTTGAATATTTACTTAAATTCAATTGCACGCTTTTTTTTCGACACATTATACAAATATACTTTTTGTGCGTTGCCAATTTATTGCCAAGTTTTTTAAGCAAACTAAAAAAACATTTCCGACTGTCCTAGAAAAACTGTGAGCCAAAAGCCAAAAGCCCAATTATGATTGTGCAAAATAAATGTTAAGCTTTAAATTGCAGTACATTTTTAAGGTTTTTTTTCCTTTATATGTGATTTAAAAGAAAATTTATTTCCTGCTAATGTTAAAATATTATTATAATTTGTATTATACATAAATCCTTCTGAATTAAGAGAATTGCGACATTCTTGTCAGAACCTTTTCTCAAACTCTATACCTTTACACCTATCATTCGCTGTCTATCTCTAGTCTAGTGAATCTCTTGATCTATTATAAGAATTTAATATGATAATATTCATAGAAGACCGTCTCTTGCAGATATATTTTGATGAATGAAAATATCTAAATGGTTTTATAGACTTTAGCGAAAACCGATCAGCATCTAATAATTATAACACAAATTTGAAATAGATATACGACTGAACTAAAGAAGAAGTCAACAACAACATCCTTTCATTACAGATTAACTAAAAGTCGGATATATTTTTTTATTTATTTACATATTGTGTTTTATAGCTTTGTTTGTTTAATATATTGGCCATTTTAGCCTGAAATTGTGCGGTGAAATGTAATAAGAAGCTCTGAGGGCAGTACGCCCCATACCACTGGGCGCACTCGTGCAGGGAGTGGCCAGCGGTAAAGGCCTTGCGATATACCGGCTTATGGGCAATCTCCGGGTGTACGTAGCGCAGCAGAATGCGGAAGATATCGTGGAACAGCGACTGACCAGATGGCACCAGCAGATGACGGGACTCGCATAGTGTGCGCATGATGCAGTAGCGCGGCTTATACTGGTGGCTGTCCCAGAAAGAGGGCAAAGGATTTTTTAAGTGTTAAGCGTGTGCGCGTTTTGGTGTGTTTACTGTACTTACAGCTGGGACAGCATTATCAGCAAATCAAAGAGCATTCCTTGCGGACTCTGGCCCTCGTTCACGAGGTTGGCACCGTTTCTCTTAAGCTCGCGACCCAGACGCCGGACCACTGCAGAAGGACGGCAGTAATAGTTGCCATACGCGTCCTTCACCAGCTTGGATGCAGGACAGCCGCTGGATTTCTGCTGCACATAGGATTTGCGGTGTCCTACAACTGGTGACACTTGCGGATATGCGTAGTAAAACGAGTGTATGGGATCGGCTGGACTTAAGGGTACAATCACCGGTTGCTGAGAGTACAACAAAGGTGCGGCTGGAACTGCTGCTGCAGGCACTGCAAGTGTCACAGCTTTTGCTGGGGTAGATGGCGGCGGTGGCGGTGGTGGCGGGGTTAGTGGTGGTGGTGGTGGTGGTGGTGGTGGTAGTGGTGGAGGTGGAGGCGGTGCGGGCTTTGGCTTTCGTCTGCGTCTTGGAAATAAGTCATCAACCGATCCAGGCATTTCATAAACCGAAGTTGCCTCTGCTATCAGCTGCAAACCTCTGGGGATAGTGTCCAACACAGCCTTTGCACAGTTGGCTGTCAGCTATAGTAATTTATGAAAATGATTTTAAGAATTAAAAAAACCTAATCCTACGATCATTGTGCCTATTACCTTTACTGATTAGATTGGATTACTTACTGAGACGGCGCTGCCTGGCTCAAAAATAAGCCAGCGCTTTTGCCGCTGCAACAAGTGCAACAGGTGCTTCGGTTTCTCACGGACATAGCTGAAGGCGCGGCTATCGGAGCTATTATTTCCAGCTCTGACCAGAGTCAGCAACGTGGTAAGCAGCAGCACTAGGAGTAAACAGCGCATTCGATGAGCCATAACTGCATGTGCAGATCTACTGAAGTACGGACAAGACGGCCGTCGAGCTGCTGAAGTGCTGGCCTGATTGACTGCAATGCGAATTTGTTTTGCGAAGTAATTAGTTTGAACTGGAATTGGATTATGCCTGGGCCCAGTTTGCAATCTAATTAACAACTTGACATTCGCTGCCTCTATCTCTCTCTGTCTATCTCTTTGTGAGTGCTCAGACATGAACATACGGATATATGAAGATCGTATACATGCCTCCGACTTACTCAACAACTAGCAGGTAATGCGAGGGTAAAAGATAAGGGTGACATGTACGGACTCTATAAATGGACAGATGAGCACTAACCCTTGCAATTTTAGTGACAAGAATATGTAAGAGACGAGCGCTGAGCCTTACAAACTCTGCGATAGGATAAGAATATGTAATAGACCAATGTCGAACCTTACACAATCAGCCATAGACGCACTAGAATTAAGGGTGAAAAATGCATATTTTTGCATGCATATGAGTCTGGGTATAGTATTCGCAAGTGTATAGCAAGTGTATTCGTTTAGTGAGTCTGAAAGAAGAGTTTCCCTGGCAGATATTTTGATGAATGAAAAAAAAAAAAAACATTGCTTTATAGAGTTTAACACGAACTATAGATAAATAAAAGGTATTTGAATGCATATTTCAATATAAATACCGATCAACATTAGATAACTATAACAAAAATTTGCTATAGATATAACTAAAATAGATTTCAGCAACCACATTCTTTCATTACAGATTAACTAAAGATCGGATACATATTTTATTTGATTATGTTTTATAGCTTTATTTGTTAAATGCATTTCCAAATTCACCCCGAAATTGTTCGCTGAAATGTAGTAAGAAGCTCTGAGGACAGTACGCCCCATACCACTGGGCGCACTCGTGCAGGGAGTGGCCAGCGGTAAAGGCCTTGCGATATGCAGGCTTATGGGCAATCTCCGGGTGCACGTAGCGCAGCAGAATGCGGAAGATATCGTGGAACAGCGACTGACCAGGTGGCACCAGCAGATGACGGGACTCGCATAGTGTGCGCATGATGCAGTAGCGCGGCTTATACTGGTGGCTGTCCCAGAAAGAGGGCAAAGGATTTTTTAAGTGTTAAGCGTGTGCGCGTTTTGGTGTGTTTACTGTACTTACAGCTCGGACAGCATTATCAGCAAATCAAAGAGCATTCCTTGCGGACTCTGGCCCTCGTTCACGAGGTTGGCACCGTTTCTCTTAAGCTCGCGACCCAGACGCCGGACCACTGCAGAAGGACGGCAGTAATAGTTGCCATACGCGTCCTTCACCAGCTTGGATGCAGGACAGCCGCTGGATTTCTGCTGCACATAGGATTTGCGGTGTCCTACAACTGGTGACACTTGCGGAAATGCGTAGTAAAACGAGTGTATGGGATCGGCTGGACTTAAGGGTACAATCACCGGTTGCTGAGAGTACAACAAAGGTGCGGCTGGAACTGCTGCTGCAGGCACTACAGGTGCTACAGCTTGTGCTGGAGTAGGTGGTGGTGGTGGTGGTGGTGGTGTTGGTGTTGGTGGTGGTGGTGGTGGTGGTGATGGTGGTGATGGTGGTGGAGATGGTACTGGCTTTGGCTTTCGTCTGCGTCTTGGGAATATGTCATCAACCGATCCAGGCATTGCATAAAACGAAGTCATCTCGCCCAGAAGCAGCAAGCCTCTGGGGATAGTGTCCAACACAGCCTTTGCACAATTGCCAGTTAGCTATAGTATTTAATAGATAAAAGTGATTTTCATGGCACACGAAGGGCCATTGCTGGCCAGATTACTTACTGCGACGACGGTGCCTGGCTCAAAGATAAGCCAGCGCTTTTGCCGCTGCAGCAAGTGCGGCAGGTGCTTCGGTTTCTCACGGACATAGCTGAGGGCGCGGCTATCGGAGCTGTTATTTCCAGCTCTGACCAGAGTCAGCAACGTGGTAAGCAGCAGCACTAGGAGTAAACAGCGCATTCGATCAGCCATAACTGCATGCCTCGAGCGACTGAAGTACGGACAAGACGGTCGTCGAGCTGCAGAGTCGATTTAGACCAAGAGCTTAGGACATAGCGTGGCTAGTCAATTTGGATCTGGAGTACTGGCCATGATTGACCGCAAAGCGAGTTTGTTTGGCCAAGTAATTAATCCGAACTGGCCACGACTGAACCTCAAGAATTGGGTCAGGCCTGAAACCAGTTTGCAATCTAATTTAATTAACAACTTGGCATCGATGGCAAATGGCAAGGGCCGGCAGACGAAGCCACAAATACTGCTGCCCAAAATCCAAGCCGAATTTTTGATTCAGTTGTCGAAATAAACGCAGCCAGAATATGTCAACCACTTGGCTGGTTCCTGGACTAGAACTGGTGCTAGTGCTGCTGCTGCTGCCGTTGGGAAATTGCCAGGGCGGACTATCTCTGAATGCTGCGGCCAAAAGCGATGCTCTGGATGTGTTTGCCACAGCAGCACAGCTGGCAACAGCCATCGATGCGCACACGAATCATGAAAGCCGAGTCAACAATATCACGCTGACAGACGCTGAGGAAATGGACCCATTGGAGCCGCATGCTGCTTCATTGAGGCCATTGTCACAGCGTAAACTCTCGAGGGGGAAACGTTTTGTGGCATTCCCTCTGGGTTCATCGGCATCGGTAAGTGAACAGCAAACAAAGCACACAACACACAGAACACAACACACAGAACACAGCACAACACATGCGGACAACAGCATCAGAGTTTCTGCATAGTTTAAGCCAAATTCTTTGAAAACTTAGGCCGCTATCTGCCTGACCACGGGCGTCATTGGCAATCCCCACTACTTGTACTTAAGCTTTGGTTTGAATTGGGGCATTGCCTACGACTTACCCAACATCACATGGGTGTTGCACCATGCCCACGGCTGGAGCAGAAAGAAACCCAGCGCGGCAGCTGCCAAAATCAAGCGCAGGCATCGTCGCGACCTCTATGGCAACCTGGAGACGATGATAGACAGGTGAGCTCGTATATCAATAGCCAAATCACAAGCACGGTGAGTGTAAAGGATAGTCAGACAATCCTCAAGGGAACTAAAAGTTTAACAGAGAATTATACGATTTAAGCCGTTTCTATGGTCGCAACTTAGCTGAAACTGCAGGACCTTTTTATGATGCTAAAGTAACTAAATTCAATTTGATTAGGCTTCAGTTTAATATTATATATATCATAATTAATATAATATATATTTTATTATTATTAATATTTTTACATTGAAATCAAATTATTTATTTAAGTAAAATAATAATTTTAGCTTATGCAAAAAGAAAACAAATAATTAAAATTGTTTGTTTTACTAATTTTTCTTGCCAATTATTGTTCCTTTATACTTTCCAATACAACTTAAGCAATTTATCAGATCTCATCAAACAGACTTCGCTGTTATTCTGGCACACACTAGTAAGTTTATCACAATATTTGAGTGGAAATTCGTATATTCGATTTAGACTTAATGTTCTAATTATGTTAAGAGAGCAGCATAAAGCCGTTTAGGTGACACGCTAAGCCAATGTTTGCATTGGCATACATTCAATAAATATCTCAATAGCAAAATCATATGTAGCTACTTTACATGCTCGCAGTGTTCGTGAGCTGTGTGCGTATACGAATTGACTGACTGTTCCTTCGTGCACTCAAGCTGCGACTGTATATGGAATTATACCCACTTATATATAAATATATATATTAACATGTATATGAGTGTGCGTGTGAGTGTGTGTGTGTGTGTGTGCTGTAGTCAGCCCAAGCACTTGGCTTATCACGCACAGTGCGGCCAAGCCCAAGACAACTTTCGCAGCTCAAGTGGTCTGCCTCCCCCTCAACTTACAGGCTCAACCTGCCACGCCCTTCTCCAGGCACGCCTGCCAGCCACAACTATATTCTGTTCGGCTGTTTGGCTGTTTGGCTGTTTCTCTGTCTGTCTGTGTGTGCGAGAGTGTGAATGCGTGCGGCTGGCATAATAATAAAATGTTGGTATTTTATATTAGCATTTAAATTGGCTTTTTGTATGCTTCGGAAATAGTTTAATATCCGAAAAGTCTTTTGCGCACAACTTTAATATTGACCCAAGGAAAATGCACTACAACAAAGACTACTATAATTGGGAACGAGAATAATGTGCAGCGTCTTTACGGGGCAAACATCTGCATATATCATTCGATTTTGCAGTTCCCAGTCACCATTATCTGGTTGGCTCAATCTGTAAAATGCCCCGACCTTATCGAGGCGAAACAGATACGCACACACATAGAAGGAGAGAGGGGAGAGGTAGAGGGAGAGACACATTGTCATGGTAATCACAGGGCTTTGGTCTATTTGTGCGTCATTTGCAGCGACTGCTAAGCTTCAAGTGGTCATCAGAAGTTTTGGCCCGAACATTTGACTTTAACTTGGGTGTCCCATTGACCTTAGCCAGGCTTTTATACACGTGCTCATCTTGGCATTGGGCGCCTATTTTATGATTGTTTTCATTCGATGCGATTCGATTCGTTTCGTTTCGCTTCGATTCGATTCGATTCGTTTGGTTTGCGCCTCGATTGTCTGTTTTGCTTAGCGCCCACAATTGACGCCTGCCAATTTTTGGCCATTGACTTTGGCCTTGCTTTACGAGCCTTTTTGTTCTAATGGGTCAACTAAGCGTTTTGCTTTGCCAACAAACATTTCTTGTCACACACACACACACACACATACACACGCACATGCACGCACTTTCTGTGCTTGTACCAACTTAGACGACAGATACATACATATCTGTCTGTGTGCTGTTTGCCATGCGAGGCTAATGAAGTTGTTTGTTTGTTTACTTGTTTCCACAATTCCAGCCATTCGCATGGCCAGCACATAGCAGAGCAAAGCTTAACTAGACTTAGGCCGATTCACGAGTTTTGCCAACCTACTTCAACAAATTCTATATTTTGTATCCTTTAGTAGATGTCTGCTTAGCTAAATCCAAAGATTGAATTAAATTAAATAATATATATATATTTCATTGATGTATTTTTATATGTATTGTATATATTTATATATTGAAAAATTATGAGAGAGGGGTAGGACAGAAAAAAGTCTCTAATGCCTTATGAATCTAGCAGTTGTTAAAGTTAGTTTTCACAAATACAAATACACAAAAAATTCAAGGTTTCGATATTAATTTTTTTTTACTCAGAGAATTACATTACAGAGTAAAGTAAAATCAAAATTATCTTTATTTAAAAAAATATATATGTCTAAAATCATCCACATTAAAAATATAATTATAAATTTTTAACTCAGAAAATTGTGTATATAAAATAAGAAACATGCCTTAAGCTTATACTTAAATGCTTAATTTAATTTGACACCTTTTCTACAGGTGTAAATGCTGTTCAGCTCTTCCCAATAAACAAGCAGTTCGTAAAGGTTAAAGGACACAGAGCAGCTAGCACTGCACTCCATCAATTGAATGGCAATCAAACCATCGATCTTCATCGTCGGTGGTGCAGGCATCTCCGACTGCGCCACTGGTGCTAACTGTTTTTGCGCAAGGCAGCTGCCAGTAGAGCGAGCCAGCAGGTGGATTTCTTGGCCCCGAAAAGCGTTATAGGCAATTCAATTAAACCACAGCACCTGCCACAGTCTGTAAATGAATGTGTGTGTATGAGTGAGAGTGTGAGTGTGTTTGCCTTGGTGTGTGGCCTCTCTGTGTCGTGTTTATTGTAAACGTGACTGCGACGCCAACTTCGACTATGTCTGCTGCTGTTGCTGCTGTTGCTGTTGTTGCAGTTGGTACTGCTGCTGTTGCTGGTGGCAATTGTCGGCACTGCAAAGAGACGTTGCAGCTGCATTCCGACACTAACTGTCGATTGGCACATTTGCACTTTGGCCATTTGTTTGGCAACGATTGTTCACCTTTTGTCGTTGTCTTTGCAAACGTCTTGCGGCAGTTGCATTCAGCGCCTCGAGCTGTGCGGCACGTAGCTAGCCATGATTTACGCGCGCTTCGTATTGTTTAATTATCGTTTAATTGTTGCAAACTTTTTGATTTACGATTTAATTGCGACGACAAGTGCTGCAAATGCAGCCACTCCACTGCCAGCCATTTTCATGACTCATAAAACAGACGCACCACTTGGTAGCGTCAACGCTTCCAATGATTTATTGCTGCAGTCGCCGCCGTTGCCGCCGCTGCCGGTGCCGGTGCCAGCATTGATGACTATGATGGAACGTGCAAAGACAACGTCTGCGTCATCTGCTCCCTCGGACCAACCACTGCCAGCCAAATCCGTGCGCAGACTGAGCCGACCCAAGCGTTATCTCAGCTTTCCCGAAGGCTCCTCCTTCACCGTATGTGTCACTGTCACATTGGATATCGACTCCCAGCCCCGCTCATCTCTGTCGCCCCTCTCGTCGAGTAACATCTCTGATTTCTTGCACTTTTCACTGCTCAGGTTGCTGTATGCATCACAGTGGGCATCATTGGCAATCCTTACTATGCCTACAATAGTTACGGTCTTAATTGGGGCGTGGCCTACGATCTGCCCAACAATACGTGGGTCCTGCAGAGCCTGCACGGCTTCACACGGAATCCCTTACTTGCGCCTGTTTTACGCCGTCGCACCAGGAGTGCTATCTATCAGGATATTGAAGCAATCGCTGATAAGTAATACATAGAATTTACTATATTCAAAAAGGGAGATAGTATATACCTAATTTAACAACGAAGACTGAAGTCCAAGAATAACAAGGACTTACTAAGTAAATTAATATAGTGCAGAATATTATCTGTAAAGTTATAGAATATATTTAACGCATTTAGTTTATTTTAATAATATATTAATTTTATATCAATCATAAATCTCAACGTGGACAAAAGTTTGTGTATTAATCTAATCTATTTTATTTTATTTCTATTTATGAAATTCTACACTTTTCAAAAGCTGTCAGTTTTCTTATTATTTTTAGCAACTAGAATATATTAAAATAAGAACATGATCAATCAATGATATGATATGATATGATAACTTCTTAGGTATGATTTTCTTAACTATTGTTGAATTTCGTTTCTCGTTGCTTAGGTCGCTGATTTATGCGCTTAGCAGTTTTTTTTTTTTTAATATTTTTTATAAATCTTTTACATTTACTCAAAATTTATATTTATATATTACTACATATTTATACATTATTTATTCTTTATTTTCTTTAAATATATTTTATTCATGATATTAAAATATACTCTCATTTAATATAAAAATAATATAAATTTATTTCTAATATTTCATATTAATGAATTCATATCTTTGCCAATTACAATTTACAATTTCAGCATGGGCTACAATGGACGTGATTGTGTTCTGCGCACTCTTTGCGAGAGTCGTCAATATTTCCAGCGCAATAAGATGAACATGATTGGCGAGATGCTGCGCGTAATATTCAGGTATTATATATATTCATACATATTGAGTGACAGATGAGCATATTAATTTCTCACTCCATTTCTCTCTTTCAGCTTGCCCAAGCAGCGCATTTTCACGCGAGAGCTGCAGGAGAATTCAGACATTGTGCACTATGATAATGCCTATCGGCACGCCCATAATGTCGACTGTGCCGAGCAATACGCCTGTCAGTTCTCGCTGCTGGAGTTGGCTTTCGGAAAATACTCGACGCCGCCGAAAAATTATTACGCCCAATAAATTGCAATACAAAAATTGTCTTATGAAATCGTTTTAATGGTGCGCCAGCCACGGCAATGCCTTGTCCGAATCACTTGTTGCCATCGGGTTATAAATGACAATTCATTTTTCTCAAATGCCCCCATTGCATCCCGTTGTGTGCAATCGAAGCCGAGTGGAGATATGTTGTCTCGCAGCGAGAGTTCGAACTGAGAGCCCGAACTCAACGGCCGAAGCGATGAGCGAGGGGAGTGAGTTGAGTGTGTATGTGAGTGAGTGTGTGTGTGTGTGTGTGTGTGTGTGTGTGTGTGTGTGTGTGGTAACACTTATTGCCGTCTGGCACCGCGACTTATACCGAAAGCCTGAACATTATTTAATTGAAAAGAAATGTATAGAAAAAGACAGCACTGGGGAATATATTTGGCAAACTTTTTAACTTTAATCAAGCTCGGAAAATTGCTCGGCCTGACAGTTGAGAGAAAATGAAGCGAAACATTTAAGCGCTGACAAACTTTCACAATCCACATAGACAGCTGGTAATAGTCTGTGCCAAGAACCAGGGCTGTTTATTTAGAATCGTTAAATAATGTACATATATAATATAATATAAATAATACGTAAAAAAAGAAAAGCAATTAGAATTATAAAATTAAATAGACAAAATTTATAATAAATATATATATATATATATATTATTTATTATTAATAATAATCAATAAATCTCAAATCAATTATTAAAATAAAATTGACAAATTATTGTTCATCCACTCAATGTAAGAGTATATAAGACATCACTAGGACCCCTGGCTACACGATTTGCTGCTATCTGAACTAAGATAAATCGTCAAATAAACTCTGCAGCTGAGTCATATCATTTTAATGATGTGTGGCTCAATGTAGCAAAAAACAAAAGAAAAGAGGAAAATTAAGTCATTCATTTTAACTAGAATATTTAAAATGTCTCAAGCGTGCCTCAAAAGGAAACTGGAAACGATTTTCCATTTGAATTTATGTATGTACTACTGTGCATAAATAATGTATATGTATGCATATAAGAATATTTCAATTGTAAGTTTAGCAGCACATGTACTTATAAGCTCGCCAGAATAAACCAATTTTTTAAGAGACAACACTGCATGCATACGCAATCAGGCAACTCCAGCCCACTGTCCAGCCCCTGGGCTCCCTTTCTGCTGTGTGCATATACTTTTGTAAATGTTTGTTTATATATATTTTGTTTTTATTTATTACAGGTTTATCTAAAACAGTAATATTTGTACATTTTATAAATGATAAATAAATGATAAAATAAAAGAATATGTTGTTCGCTTGCTTAAGGTTTTAGTTGCATGTCATAATCTCGCAGAGCTCAGTAAGGTTCGTAGCAGTTAGAATGGAGTCGAGTCACTCACACCGCATACATAGATGATACATCAAGCACAAACTTTTTCAACGCATACAATTTGTACACTACCTCAAATTCAACTTATACCTCCAGGCTCGATCAACAGGCTCCAAATATTAAACTGAAATAGTAAATACTAAATCACATATGTGCAGATGTCCCACAGCCGTGTCAGTAGTAGTCAATAGACTTAGAGAGTAGAGCATGGGCTCCATATTCTTTGAAGCATTCTTATTAAGATGATATCTGCATTATATGCAAAAGAGTTGCCTTCAATATTCTATATGTTTATCGTGCCAATAAAATATTCCTAGGCAATCAATTTCATACAGTCTGCAGTAATCTATATATTTTTGACACATTTATTGCTCTGCTCTAGTCATCCCTCTAGTCATAGAGATTTCTTATGAATTCAACTGAATTAACCGGTACATATTTGATTTTAATCAAAGAAATCTCCAATTATGAAAATTCTTTCCAGTTCCGCCTTTACAGAATTGATCAATTTGCATTTATTTAGAATAAAAGAAAGTTCACCCAGATTCAAGCCCGATTTTCAATCGCTCTTCGTACCTCTTTCATCAATGTGCCCACAGCTGGCTTGGTAAATTCTTCATGTCAACACGAATCAGCACGAAGATTAGCGTCATGAAAGATAGAGAGAAAAAGTGTTAACAAGTGGATGTCATGTCCGGCTCTCTTCTGAAGACAGTCAGCAATTGGCCAGCGGGAGAGAAATAGAGACGAAAAAGCAAATGTAGCAGCCGAGACATGCGATGTCAGAGCAGCACACAAAGCGATAAATAAGTAAATAAACAATGCCAACAATAACAAACAACAATGAAAGGCAGGGGACAACGATTTTTCAATTGTTGTTGGTATTTTGTTTGTCTGCTTCGCTGCTTTGGCTCTCAGCTGAAGCTGGGCGAGACAGAGACTGAGGCTAAAGCTGAGGCTGGAGCTGAGGCTGAGGTGGTGGTCTATACCGGTATTTATGTCAAACAGATTAAGAATACCAGGGCACATCAGTCACCAGGAAAAACTGGACGGGAGCGCGTCGTACAAACGAGCAGACAATGTACACAAAGAAAACAAAAAGAATAGACTAATATTAAATTGAAAGACAAGTCAAATAATTGTGTTTAGCATTCTTTGGATCAATAATGTCGTCGCCTGGCAGTGTATTAGGAAGTGCAGCAATCAACAAGCGCAAATGCCGAGGCAGCTGCTCCTTGATTTGCCTGTCAGCTCACCCATCAGCCGTAGCGCTGATGCTGATGGTGGTTCTGTTTTGGATGGGCTCGGCTGTTGTGCAGAGTGCCGACGATTTCAATGCGCTGTCCGCTCTCAACGACAGCCATCACAACAGCAGCGACAACATTGACATGCACTATGACAATTTCAACTCCAACGAGCTGACAGTTAACAATGGCACACGGATCCTGCGACGAGGCAAACGCTACCTGGAGTTCACAAAGGGCTCGCGTATGTCGGTGAGTGGAGCATCTTAATGCGTTTCGAATCTATAGTCTATAGTACTGACTGGACTCCCCTTTGCGCCTGCAGTGGCGTACCAATGGCAAGAACACTCTGCTCAAAATCAATACACTCTTCGCCTATGGCTATGGCTTTCGTGCCAACTATCCATTTCCTGATGCCAAGGAGCAGCGCCAGAAAAACAGAATTCTGTTCAAGCGCGACTTGTTCTCAAAACTGGAATCTGCCCTGGATGGGTAAGTACTCACTGCACTCATCATGCTACCTTTTCTTGTATATTTCAATCGAGCATCGTTTCTGCTTAGCCATGGCTTTGATGGACGCGCCTGCTTGCTGAAATCCTTCTGCACGGCCATTTGGGATGTTGATAAGCCCCACCAAAAGAGCGGAATGCTGTTCAAGCTACTCAAGCTAATATTTAGGTGAGTACAGATCAGGGCCCACCAACATTACTGATAGCTTGTACACAATAGATTAGTTTAGAAATTGTTTTCCAAGAGCACAAATTAGTTTCCTAAGAAATGTAGTCAAAGACCTCAGCAGTTTCATACACACTTGCTGAATTCATTTCGCATGGTAGCGTCAAATTGTCACAGTGGCACAGGAATTGGCACAGTTAGAGCACTTAGCAGGCTAGTAGTAATCAATGTTATTGTCAGAACCAGTTTGAATTTTCAACAAGAATCTGCTGCGTTTGTCACATTTATAACTGTCCGGGCTGCTGTCACGCTGCGTTTAGTTCAGTTCTCTGGCTGCAGCCTCAGCAATGAACATTCTCCAGGTTTCTCTGTTGCTTGCAGCTGCTTTGATCAACTTGACTGTGGCTGCGCAGCTGAATGCAACTACTCCGCATAGTCGAGCCAAACGCTTTCTGGACATAATTGAGACGTCTCGCATATTTGTGGGTAACAATCGGGCAGAAGAGGTTTAACTTGCCATTCGAGTTTGCCTAACAAATGCCTCTTTCCATTTGAAGTTTCGCATAAATGTCAAGAACAATGTGATAGCAAGCCCAACTATTTGGGCGCATGGCTTTGGATTTCGAGCCAACACACCGATATTGGTGAAGCATGAGAATCGACCCTTTAGAAGGGACACATACGAGCTGGTCCAGGAGCTAATGGACCGCAGTGGCTTCGACGGCCAAGCCTGTGCCCTTAAAGCATACTGCACAGCATTAGCTGGCCACGATAGTCAGGGTTTCTTATACAAACTATTCAGATATATGTTTACGTAAGTTGGGATCCGACTGTCAATGAAGCTGCATAATTTATTTTATTTATTTTTTATTATTATTATTATTTTTTTTTTTTTTTTTTTTTTTTTTTTTAGCCTTGAGGATCACGAGAAACATCACATTCCGTATATGCGCGAGGAGAACTGCGAGCAGATTCTACATAGCCACTGCCCGTTGAGCTTTGACAGCATATCACCATACACAGACGATATCTGACAACGGTGCTTCAATGGATCAACTACGGTAAACTGTAAAGCAAAAGATGAATAAAAAAAACTAAAGCATTAATAACAAATGTTTAATTTGGGTCTACGTAGTACGTACCATAGATTTAAGAAATTTCCAGCCTTGAGGTTCGGTTTACTATTTCAGTTTTTCATTTCTCAAAGCATTTAGCAATGACTGCCTAAAATTATCTATATTTAATGAAAATAGTTTATCTTACAGAATTACTAAAAATGCAATAATTACCTACAATTAGTTTAAAATAGGTTAGTTTTATTTTCAATCATATCAACAATATTATTAAAATATAGGCTCTCATAGGCAACAGAGTTGAAGGTCTGCTGTGAGAAATTGCATTCGGAGAAAAAGACTTTTCTCTCGGGAAGTGAGTTTTTATATGCATATGAAGAGGGCAGGCTATTCATTAATTCTTAATTAATTATTGATAGTTGTTGTTGTGTTTGTGTTGTGTTATTTATAATTAAGCTGTGCCATTTCCAGCGACCTTTTTTATTGCAACGAGCAACATGCATTTAATTGGCATTTATATTAAACAGCCGAGGCGAGCGGAGCAGAGCAAAGTAGAGAGGCAAGTAGCAAAAAAAATGTAGCATATTTTTTTGCGGGCGCTCATTGTTGACCTCATTGCATGACAAAAGTTGCAGTTGCTGCTGCTGATGCTGATGCTGTTTAATGTCACCAGCATGAAATGCCAAGTGTTGTTAAAATGTTTGCGAGCGCCTTTGAGCCAGTTGACACGCCCATGCCCGCAGACCTGCCGACCACGCCCGGCATTAAAAATTAACTTTAATTAAGTTGAAAACATAAATTACACGCACGCATACGATGGCATATAAAAATGCACCCAAACACTCATACACGCACACACAGACACACATGCATGCATGCGCATGCAGGCATTTTGTTGTAATTGTACAATTGCTTTTGCGGTTGTTGTAGTTGTTGCCTGCACTCTTCAAGTTTGTTTCGCACACAAAGAACTTCCGTTTTTCGCTGAAGAGCCCGAGTAGAGCCGCAAATGAGTTAAACTGATCTAATTGGCCGACTAGCAGATACCCTGTACTCGATTAACTATGAGCAATTTCCAGCTCTTGCATATGCCAAACTTAATTGAGGCAGGATTAAAGGCTCTGGCGAAGTAAACTCCTGTCACATGGTACATTCATATTAGCCAAGGCCTTGCTAGAGCATATACGAAATTGAGGAGCTTTTTGTATTTTCCTCCAGCTGTACAATGACACACAAGTTGCCAAGCATTTACAATTAATAACTGCTGGAAGAAGTTGCAGCAGCTGCAGCATTCGAAATATCACATTCTCACATTCTCACATAGTCACTGCAGAGAGTTTGTGTTTTACGATATTTTACTCTTGTTGTTTCTGTTTATTTGTGGTAAGTACCTTGAGAAAATTTAAAATAAATTACGTGTAAGCAGCTGAGCTGCCTTCCCCCGCCGAGCACATGCAGCGCATCAGCAATTCAGTTTTCAATTGCTGAACGCATAAAGTTTCGTCTGCAATCTTAGTAATTGCATAAATACATTGCATAGAGTATTTAATTCAATTCGATTCGATAAACGAGTGATTTGATTAGATTGTAATTGAGAGTAATTTCAAATCGCTTTAATTGTCATTGTCATGTGATATTTCTATGGCATTTCAAAATATTATTTGATCACAGCTCATGGCCAATTCTAACATTAAATGGAGCAAACCACAATAGTCGAGCACAAATTATTAATTGCAAATTGTTAATTGCAGTGTCATGATAGCAGCTTGAAATGTGACCAAATTATTTGGGTTAGCTCGCAAGAGTTCTAGAAACGCATATCCCAAACAAAGGCTATATATACATATAAATTGAATCTCTTATTGAATAGCTGGAAAATATGTTTTTTTGATCTCTTATTGTGCAATAAAATACTAAAATTACAACAATATGCCAAAGCCTGTTTCATCCAATAAAATCGAAATAAAATAGCTTGACTACATTTCTAATTAAATATTGAATACATATAAATTATATTTTGTTTTAATAAAATAAATAATAACAATTGGCATATCTCTACATTACAAATTTACAGTTGATTATAATAGTATTTCAACAAATTTAAAATGTGTTGAATTCTACGATTCCATTGCTGCTAAATATAAGTTGACCCATACAGAGTTAGTTTGGCTAGGTGGGTGTGAATGTTTATGTGGTGCGCCCCGTGGGTCAGTTTGCAGCGAGCCAAATAGTTAATGTACAAGCTTAACGCGCACACCGGCGCACACCTGGCATAATTTATTGGCATTCGAGGGCGCCCAATGATGTTCAATGCAGAACCAAGAGCAGCGGCTGGAGCTCATTATGCATGCAGGCAAAAGGCTGGGCGGAACAGTGGCAAACAGAGCTCGATCTGGTTGCATTCATACATTAATCGCCGCCTGGGCGGCAAATTGATTTGATGCGATGTCAATTAAAATGTGCAATTAATTTAATTTCCTTTGCCCCACATTATCGGCCACTGACGCCCAGCGAGCCAGAGGCGGCATCTGCTAATGAGCTCAGTTAGCCAATTGAGTTTGCAACCATGAATGCCAGGATTTGCGTTTGAGTGTAGCTAAATTAAGCTGCCTATAATATCACACTGTGTATATTTGCAATTAGTCAAATGCTGATTTCCACACGCACAGTGCTGTCCACTTGAATAGGGGCAGTTAAAAAAATATTCTGTTTAAATCATTTACTTTAAAATTGTCTTCAATTCTTTTTCACTTTTACTATTCACTTGCAGAGATCTTACAGCTGCTTAAATAGTTATTTTTGCATTAAAGTCAGCTCTATTTGCTCTTCCAGCATCGCTTGGCGTTAATTATAAAATGCTTGACAGAGATTCAGCACTGGTTCGTTCTCTAAATTAGTTCAAGGATTAGTGTAATAAAACTAACATGCTAACGATTCACTCAGCCCTTTTGTTGATGTTGTGGGGGTGGTTTGGGTTAGGCTGGGCGCTGCAGGCATTTGTCTGGGGGCATGTCGCAATTTCCCAATTAGCTACTCATTGAGATAAATTTCTTATGCAAATGATGACAAGGCCAAGCAGCAGCAGCAGAAACTGTGACAATTTTTAAGGCAAGCACTGAAGTAGCATCGACGACCTAGTCAGCACATCTCTCGCCTGGGACCTGGCCGGGGACCTTAGCAACCTGCGAACAGCGACGGAGACAATGCCCAGGCAGAGTGACATTGAGTGACTCGCACCACGCCTCTGGCTCACTCTCTCTAATTAGCTGCTGACGTTTGCCTGCTGCCAACAGCCTAAGAAAAACAACAACACAGAACACAGAACGGCATCCGAATTTGACATAATTAAAATGCTGGCGACTGACACAAACAGCGAAATTAAATGCAAGTCAACTTTTCAGTCCCAATCTATATCCCAGAGTACAATTGAGTCGTACTCTCAGCTACTCGAGCGAGGTCGCTCTCTATAATCATACAAATAATGTAATACGAAATTATTTGATTTCTCTCTGAACGCTAATCCGTTCTGTCAACTGTGCCATATTTCGTTACTTCTCGAAATTATTCTGAATTACCGTTACGATACTTTAAACTGGTTCAACTCAGTTCATTGAACGCACAGCCCACAGAACGGCCGCCAGCTCACGCCTAGGTGTTAATCTGTAATGCTCTCAGGTTTAATCAGGTTCATTGGACTTGAAAATGGAGCTGCCAATTGACGTCGCATGCTTTTCAAATAGTTCCGCAATGCGAAAGCCGTGATTTAAGCCAGATTTTTCCACAGTGCCGCCGCATGCGTTTGTCTATATTCTCTTTCATGGCAGCTCGAGATTGTTCTATGAAGAACACAATAAATAAAATGAAAAGGAATAAATAATTAAAATACGAATAAAAGACAGTTTTCAAATACAAATTACATTAGTTTCCTAATATATACAAAATAGGTTTTACAATGCAATTAAAAAATAGACCTTAATATGAAATAATTTATTTACATATATTTATTGGCAATATATAATTATTTTATAAAAATTTTATCAGGTATGCCCCATAGAATATTCTCTTCAAAAATTATTTTATTTAGTTAATTTAATACAAATCTTTTATAAATATATTACAATGCATATTTGTTTTGATTTTTCATACACTCCCAAAAGATAAGAGAATAATACTACAATTACAATGTAATAAGTTTACTGAATTATAATTAAAATTTTATTAAGTGCACATATATGATATTTGTGTTTATTTACTTGTCGCACTTTAAGCAGTTCACTGCACCAAAATGCACACAGCAATTTTAATTAATTAATTTAACTATGGTTGTGCACTGAAATACAGATTAGAAAGTTTGTTGCCGAAAATTTCAAAATTTGAATTTTCTTATCAGCGCATGAATTGCGCTTGAGAGAACACAGAGAACTTTGTTGGTACAATACAAATGTCCACACACACACATACAAACACACACACACAGAGACCGAGTCACAGCTGACACTCGACATGTAAATTGCTCATACGCAACGTGGGCAGCACCCGGTTCAACAAGCAGCAGTAACAACAACAACAACAACAACAACAACAGCAACAACAATAGCAATAGCAACAGCAGCAATAACAACGATTGAAATGGCGCTTATTAAAGTTAGACTTGTACTTTTGGGAGGCTGTCTAGCTCTAGGTGTGGCACGTGGCATGTGGCATACAAAAGTTGCTGCAACAAAAATTAAACATTGCTTTTGTACGGCGCATGCGATAATTGGGAACAATACAAGAAACAAGTTGGAAATTGGAAATGAGTGGGACGCGTTTGCCTGCAGCACTGCAACTCTACACATGCATACATATATATATGTATATGTACATATATTTGTATGTATTTGTAGGAGCCCCTCTTAATAGCTACCCCCGGCCCATTGCAATGGCCTGAGCAGAACCCACTTCTCTACACATGTAGTAGACGTTTGTTTGCCGGCGACATTCACGTCTCGCTGCGCTTTTTGCATGCAGCCGCTGCCTGC